AGCTAAGGCACTATGCAGAATCAGGAATCAGCAGGCAAGTTCAGTATGCAGAATCAGTAAGCATCAGTACGCAGAATCAGCAACAACTTTCAGTATGCAGAATCAGCAAGCAAGTTCAGTATGCAGAATCAGCAAGCATCAGTATGCAGAATCAGCAAGCAAATTCAGTATGCAGAATCAGCAGGCAAATTCAGTAGGTATGCAGAATCAGCAAGCATCAGTATGCAGAATCAGCAGGCAAATTCAGTATGCAGAATCAGCAAGTAAATTCAGTATGCTGAATCAGCAAGCATCAGTATGCAGAATCAGCAAGCAAATTCAGTATGCAGAATCAGCAAGCAAATTCAGTATGCAGAATCAGCAAGCATCAGTATGCAGAATCAGCAAGCATCAGTATGCAGAATCAGCAAGCATCAGTATGCAGAATCAGCAAGCATCAGTATGCATAATCAGCAAGCAAATTCAGTATGCAGAATCAGCAAGCAAATTCAGTAAGCAGAATCAGCAAGCATCAGTATGCAGAATCAGCAAGCATCAGTATGCAGAATCAGCAAGCATCAGTATGCAGAATCAGCAAGCATCAGCATGCAGAATCAGCAAGCAAATTCAGTAAGCAGAGTCAGCGTGCAGTCAGCTGCCCTCTCCCCAACATTACGGCCGCCCCTCGAATTACGTTCGTCGTCCCTTCTTTGCCGCCACCTGCCTGCGTTCGGATCCGTGGCGACGCCTCTGGCTTCGGCTTCATCGGCTTGCCGCTCAGCCCCGGCTAACTCACAGCCATTAATAATAATGTGCGCATGGCATTGCAAGTCTTGCAATTCTTAGTATAGAATACTTTTATAGGTGGATGTCAAAAGAATATATAAAATGAGCAAAAACATAATTATAAATGAAGACGGAACAGAAACGAACTCCGTTGAGCCAAATCATGTCTAGCGCGGAACACCTGCCTCTTACGGCACTACCATCATCACCACCACCACCACTGTCACCACCAACACCACCATCATGGTCACCAGAATTATCATGACGCCACTACCATAGTAAGCAATTGTGTACTAGTTACCACCATCACTCGACTTAGCTACTTCTTCGTAACTTATCTACAACCACCATCATCACCTAAACCACGTTAAGTGTTCCGCACGAATAAAAATAAACCAATGCATACGCGTTATCAAAATGATAACAAAAATCGATTTAAAAAAAATGCCCCGGTTACGTAGATACGATGATATTTCTCGCACGTAGAAAATCTATTGTAAATGGACCGACAACGTAATATCTATGTAAATGCATTAAGTAAAATAATAGCATAACTAAAAATATTTAAGTACTAGCAATGTCCTGTTGTGTGGCGGGACACGCACAGGGACATGTCACGCAGTCCTTTTGTGTGGCGTGACACGCACAGGGACATGTCACGCAGTCCTGTTGTGTGGCGGGACACGCACAGGGACATGTCACGCAGTCCGTCGCCTGGTACAGAGTTCATGTCAAATAGACGTCGCATATCAGCATCGCGCGGCTGATAAACCTTAGACCCGAACTGAAGTGATCTTAAAATTACTCGAACATTTATGGGCAATGTATTAAGGCACTATCATGCAAATTACATGATGCAATTGTAGTTAACTTTAACAACTATGAACTCCGATCCGACGTGACGAACTTTCAGTGGTATAAGCATAAATGTCTGATGGATCGATATATGTGATATATGTCACGCGAGACGAACCTGGGGCCATACTTTCAAAACTCGCTAAGTGAACGTAAGTACCTACGCTCTATTTTATTGTCTATGATTGGTAGATTTTGCTTGAAAGGCCGTCAATGATTGGCTGATGAACTTATGATCTCTTAACTTTTTTGAAAGTATGGCCCCTGAACTTAGGTGAGCAAAACGAAAACCGACTTGCTGTGTGAAGTGTCATTTTAAATGAGCAAACGAAAGACACCATATACAAGATGAGGCATGTCGCTGCATGGCCACCACACTTGTATGCTATAACACACCAGCTTGTTTGTCTTATCGATCTGACTTATAGATGCGCGTGTAGAAGACACGTGCGTACAGAGGAATAACCCGTTCACAAGTCGCGTAAGCAACACGTGCGTATAACCGAACCTGGTAAATGTATTCAAATTTTTATAACCTAAACAGAGAAAATCCGGTAATGAGTGACGCAAATTTGCAATATGTTTAAAAATGGGATGGGGAAATTTCCGTTAATAAATAATGCGAATGTACGTTATGAATTAGATCGTTATGAATTAGATCGTTATGAATTAGATCGTTATGAATTAGATCGTTATGAATTAGATCGTTATGAATAATACAAAAGTCCATGAGTTCTAAGAAATTGTCATATAATTCGCAGAAATAATTTATTTAGATATCTACAGATTACTCGATAATGAATTGCGTACATTAATTCATGATTGAGCAAATGTAGTGATATTATTCTCCATATTATAAATGTAAAATTGATAACTCAACAAAGCATTGCAATTTACCATGTACAAGAAGTAGATGGTATTGTGATTATCTTTGTATCTTCTACTGAACGAAAATATCAGCAAGCATTGGTACGATTTGTGAATAATTCTTGTCCAAGTTCTTAATTTGCACATAGAAATTTAATTAAAGCACCACTGAACACACGAGAATTAACACATGCTCGATGCAGTGTTAATGTGCACAAAAATCATCGTTCGCAACGAAACAAAATACGAATTGTTCGTTAAAAAAATAAAATCCCGACGAGCAATCGGACTGCAGGACAAAGAAGTAGCAGCAGATGTGCCGCAGCTAGTTGCTGCATCTGCGTACTATACAGCTGCTACAGCTGATAAGCCCTCACATATATACACGCACACAAGACGCAAATGTACTCTATACGGGATATTTTGAGATATTCTATTTATATTAACTGCAATGATATTACATTATCTTCAGCATAAAGGAGGATAAAACTTTATTTTAATTGATGAACTTATCTTTTATACTTGGGGTGGTATTTGATGATTTATTTGCGAGATACACATGATACTGTAAATGAACATTGCTTTCTATAGCAGTTCACGACGCAGTGACTTCTATAACACCAGAGGACGCAGTGACTTCATCAAACACTTGCGGACCGTAAGATTTCATTTGACACTTGCGGACTTTTAGACCTTATCAAGCTCTTCATGAAATTAAATTTTTTTCCAACACTTGGGGCATGTGTTGCATAAAGCGTGAGAACGCGAGTATAACAGCTGAGGGCTGAAAATCATACACAGCGCCTTAATTGTTAGTTTGTAGGTTGTCTAAGTATTCATTTTTAATCCAACCCTGGACGACTGCAATCACACTTATAACGATGCCGAACTTGGCGCTCGAAATTGACTGATTCCATGAGTGATAATTGACGCCCACAATGAGGAGATCTTAGGCAGTCGAGAATTATATATTCAACTAAATTTCCAATGATTCAAAAATATGGATCGGTGTCCAAATTAAGTTGACGTATGGAACGAGCTGCCGAGTTAGAGAGCAACACATTTTGAAGAAATTTTTAATGGTTCATGTCAAACTTCTCCATGTGCTGTGTAGTGTGTATATAAATTATTTATACTTCTGACATAAACATATAGAGGAGAACAGAATTGATGTAATTAACTGCCCCATGCATCGATCTTCCTTAGCATTTGATTAAAGGCTTCCGACATACATTTAAAGTTATTTTTCAAATAAATTTTGCATGAAGACGCAGATATAAGCCACCAGTTTCTGTACCATTATGAGCTACATGTTATTACATCATCCTATGCAGCATACGATTTTATCATGCACTGCAAAGTATTGTGTCATCGAACACTGCAAATATTGTATGATTGCACGCTGCATATTAATGTATCATTGTGTGCTGCACGTTATTGTATCATTATACCCTCTATGCTATTTGGTCGCGCGTCCAGTTTTTCAATCAGCGTTTAAAAGAATGCAGCGATAAATTCTAAATATATTTTCGATTTACTATGAAATCCCACCAAGATAGCCACACATTTTTTCATATGTGATTTTAATGAAAAATTCATGTGTACATGAATATAAAATTTATTCTGCAACACAAAAACTTTATGGAATTTTAACAGCAAAATCGTTAAGTGGAACCCAGATAGAAAACTTTATGTCAAAAAGTGATATATGTGACACTTATTCTTTGTTGCGTCTTCATTGCAGTTACAGACGTTTTATGTCTCGACTGTAATAAAATATTATAAAAAGAACCCATGATATTGACAGTTTTTGTTTCTGCACACGTGAGGGCATACCGACTTGTCAATAACGAGTTAAACACTTGACTGTTGCTGGAAAATCAATCGTGGACACTTGAATAATTTAGAATTGATGGACGATCGAATCCGGAAAAAGTGATAGGATATATTTTGAATGAAAACTCAAGTTCTTCGATAATTATGAAGACAGCGAGAGACCACGAAATGATTTAAGATTAATGATAAATATTTTTATTAAGGTTGAATCCTTTTGCAATATACACGCAAGACACTTAAGATACCACGAGTCAAGAAGATATTAACGATCAATGAAATTTAAATTTTAAAATGAGTCAACATTTCTACTGATGGATAAAAATTATTCCGAATAACATTGAAAACAAAATGAATTTCTTAAACGTCCCTGGTATCTCAGCAAGCACGCGAACCGTTAAAATTAGAAGTCGAGTTATTCGTAGAGACGACAGAATTTTCCTAGATAAAATTTACGCGTATGCAACTCAAAGATTTACCTGGTCGCACTTGTTAAATAATTTACAAAATTACGAAGAGATTACAAAAATGTATAATTATTTCAGAAAGAAAAAATAAGACAGAAATAGGCTTCACGAAAATAAAAAAAGGTAAAAACTACAGCGTGCCTAAGGATTAGTTTAAATTTCCAGTGTAATTTGAACAATTAGGAAGAGAAAAAATATAATAATGATTCTTACCTGCTAATCTAAGAGAGGACATCCTCTGGAACTCAGGCTCTTGCAGCCACTTCCACATCCTCCTAAAGGTTTCGCGGCCGCTCTTGAGCTTGGACCAGGGCTTTGGGTTACGCAGCAAATCCGACAGAGTTCCTTGCGAGCGGCATAAGACTCTCTGGGCGAATATCGCTTGAGGGATCGAGTACCGTTTGAGTTCAGCCGAGATCCTTTGAGCGAGATCCTTGGTGTTGATCTCTTCGACTTCCCCGCCGCCACCACCGCCACCACCACCACTCGTGGTCGCCATGCCCGATTGTTTCATGAGGCCCATGTTGTTGCCCATGTTCATGTTGGGTACCGCAGACACGGGGCACGAGTGAATCATGCCCCCTTGTTGCTGCATTGTGCTGACTGCCGTCATGTGCGCGTGAGGTGGACTTTGGTTCATCAAAACCGGGCCCGAGATGTTACTGATCTGACATCCAAGTTGTGAATTTTGGAGGAGATTTTCAGTTTTAATTGAAGGAGGAGGTGGGGAAGGAGGCATGTGAAGAGATTGGTGTGGACTGTAAGCAGGACTGTGTGGGGAAACTGCTTGCGGGGATAATGAACCCAGTCCACTTCCCCCGACCATCCCATTCATGTTCAGGGATGATGTGGTGAGAGTGGGAGTACCAGCTGCACTAAATGTGGTGAACGCTTGTGGGGAAGAGTGAAGAGACACGGGAGGGGATAAATTTGGTGACTGTGACCCTACCAGGGCTGCTCGGCTCATGTCCTGCCTCGTGTAAGGGGAATCATAACCGTTGGGGCTGAGAGATTTTTGTGGAGATGCCAAACCATTTTGGTAACCCCCATGGGGAGATAGTGGGGAGTGTTGATGACTCAACGTTATACCAAGACCATTATTGGAGATGTAGTGTGGTGGGGACATGGACATTTTATCGTACTGATAAGGAGAACCCATAGACAGCATTTGGCCGAGGCCGTTGTTTTGCATAACAGTGAAGCTGCCCGATACATTGCCAGGGGGTCCGTACACAAACTTATCTGAGACCGTGCTGATGGGCGGCAGGGGCTGCAGAGGAGTTAATGTGGCGTAGCTGCTCGCCGATGATGGCGAAAATCCAGGAGGTGACATGCGTCCGTTCATGGACGACATGTTCGGGTAGATCGGCTCCGGTTGGAGCGATCGAAAATCCGAGGCATCAATCATGTTTGGATCACTAACTTGACTTTCACGGGGAGATAATTCACTGGGACTCAACAACCCCGAGTCATGGGAGTCAAGATGAGAATCGTCATGCACTACACTCACACTTAAGGGTTCGTCTTTATAATTCACATGGGCAGAAGGCGATAAATGACTATCATCATCAGGATGTTGAAACAGCTGATGTTCTCCGGGTTGTAATGCAGGCGGACTATCAGGATCAGTATCTTCTGCGTGTACAACAACAGCATTAGCGACTACAGTTGTGTGGTGCACAAGGACATGTTGTCTGTGATGTCTTAGATGGGTAGCAGTGGTTGCTAATGACAGCGGCTGCTGCTGTAGGTTGTCCTGTCTGCAGAGCTGTAGCGGAAGTGGCGACGTCTTGTGCACGTGGCGCACAACTGGCGTCGAGTCGTCGCTCAGACCTCCAGGCTGCTGCTGCTCGGTGGAAGAGGGAGGTGCTGCCGCTACTCCACTGGAGGCGCACAATGGGGGTGGAGGAGAGTCGCAAGAAGAGTCTCCCCCATCGCTGCTACTGCACCTCCCCCCTTCAACCATCCTACATCCACCCCCCATGACACACTCTTCGCTGCCGTCGCACTCGCTCATCTTCCTAACCTCAGGGCAATAGTTACACTTCTTCAACACTTCTCAACATGAGAAATTCAACAAAAAACACTAAATTGAAACCAAAAGCACTTATAAGTCACATCGACACATAAATATTGCAATAAGAAGCAAGACATTAGCTAAGTTCTGCCTCTGCCGTCCATGTTCGTGCGGCTGCCTCACGCGCAGCCTGTCACGCAGCTCTTGCTTAGCTGCAACCTTGGGAATCGTTTGTTTACATCCAAATAATAACTTAACGCTCACTAAGAAACTAACACACACTGTACACAAACTTAGAATCACTCTTGACACATAACACGTAAAGATTTGTAACACTTTTGTGACTTTTGTTGGGGATTTTTGCCAAGTTTTGACAAGGGAAAGCAACCGGGCGCTCCCCTCGCTGGCTCTAGCCTGGAATGAGAGTAGGCACTTGGACTGCTGGCGTTGGTTGCTGCCACGAGCCTTGCAGCTCCCACCAGCCATCTATCTTGAGGGTTACACCACCGACAACCTAACCAGGCGCGTTACAAAGGGCATGCCAAGCACTAGTGTCGCCACCGTGCCCGGGCATCACAAGAGGTGGTCGCTAACCCTCGGACCACGTGGAGGGAAAGCACATGGCAGGGCCTATTGATCCTCACCTGTCTTAGCCGATACCACCTTCCTCTCACTCTGAACCATGATCAATGAGCATCGTGTAAACGAACTAACCCTCGCAACTTTCCTCTTTTTATGGTACTTGCATTGAGTTTTCATTAGATTGGTCTTCCTTGCGTGACGTAGTAAGCCTAGTGAACGTTTTCCTTCGCAACGTTGCTGTCAAACCACACAAAATAGCCCTTGATATTCCTCCTAAAAATACATCTCATGAAAACAGAGTAATTAGTCTAGCCAGCATATTAGAGCGTACATTTTTCAAGTTCGTGAGCTAATTTGGCGATATTTTCGCGCAACCAAGAAGATAGTTCCCATACCAGGTTTATTATTGAAAAAATTAAATTTTATCACAAAAAATATATTCTTTCGGATTTCTGTTTTTGCTGATATTGAATGGTTTCAGTCAATTAGTCTAGGAAGCGCCAGTAGGCAACCAGCATCACCCACAAAAGTCTGCGGTAAATGCACCTCACAGTCAAGTATCTCCATGCGTTGCAGCATTTTGAGGACAGGCGTCTTCTCATAAATTACGGATATATGTATCAATAAACATTATAAGTTAAATATCAGACTATAAAAATAACTCTATCAGGGTGCGTACCGGTCATGGAAAACCTGGAAAGTCGTTTACGAGTCTGGAAAATTGCGAGTCGTATTCGAGTCACTCGTATACGACTCGCAATTTTTTAAACTCGTTTACGACTCGCATTTTTCCAGACTCGTATAAGACTTTCCAGGCTTTCCGTGACCGGTACGCACCCTGCTTTATGCAAAGAATAGTCGAAATTATGGTAGTATATTTTCATATCTTCCAACTTGAAATCTAAGATGCCTTGTAATAATCAAAAGTTTAAAACTTAGATTAATAAGACCGTTCACTTGACAAGGTGCATTAATTCCCTTTACTGACTGGCAAGCGGACAAGCGCAGCAATTAACAGATTAAAAATTGATCATTTCATAAATTTTAAGGCACTCACCAATATTTCCAGTAGACACAAAATGTTATGCTCATTTTTATTTAAAATCCGTGAATTTCTACATAATGTACCTCCAAAATTGTTAATGAAGAATGTGGGTATGTGAATATAGATCCGGTCAACGGATAGAAAATTACAAATTATTCAGAGTACCTCTGAAGCAACCACTTTTGAAATTCCTCTCTAAAATGAAGAGCCAAATTAACACTTAAATTACTTTCGAAAAATAATTTTGATGATCCGAGTTTAACGAAGTTGAACACAAATTGCATGAGATTAAACTAAATAAACATGAATATAAACTGCTTCTTTTTAGCGCATCTTCTCATTTATGGAAAAAATGCGCTATTGTGCTCGCCATGTCCGTCCGTCCGTCTGTCTGTCTGTCCGTCCGTGACTTCAAGTTTTCGTCGACGAGAAAATGCGCTCTCTGTCACTCACTGCAGTGAATATTGAGATATATTTTTTGTATCTGCATCAGACAATTTTGTATCCGTTATTGATGCGTCGAAATATTACAATAATGCGTATATAATAATACGACAACATATACTAACTCAAGAATTAGGTGGAGGCTCCAGCGGGGGAGTGCGACGCTCTCTACCACCTCTTGCCCAACCCCCCCCCCTTCCTCTCCCCCGACACCGCACTCATCCTTGCGCTCTTTAGTCCAGGGTGATCGCAGTATCACTTTATTCATTAGCTTAATGAAATAAATTGGATGAAACACAAGGAAAATTTTATAAAATGCAAATATAAACGATAAACTACCGGCAAATTGGATGGAAAACGTAGAAACTGAATGAAACGCGTTAAAGTGGACAAAAAAAAAACAATTGGATAGAGGACGACGCATTCATCTTAGTTCTCATACTTTATCCAGGTTATTTTATTTACACGCGGTTAAACGTAGATTTATTCATTTTTAGGCCTACAAAAGGTGCAGCAATAGTTCATGCAACGCATCTAAGAACGTGCCTAGCATTCTATTTTGAATGCAGATCACGGCGCTAGAGGGTAGGCATAAATTCACCTATGTTGCCTTCAAGTATAGTTTTTTCTTTTATCTCTGACCATAGGTCTATGTTCAGATTTTGATATATTTTATCAATATTTCATCCCATTATGATATTTTATTTTATATAGCATGGAAGCTCATCGTTCTTTTAAATACATGAGCGTATTAGGTTAAATTAAGACCCGAAATTAATAGCAATCATTGACTGTAATTAATTGAAGGTTATTAATAGAACTGTGATAGTTATTTAACAATAGAACCTTCCAGTACAGAATCTTTAACTCTGTTTAAGGTTCAGACATTGATGAAACTGACATGATTTCCTACACGACTGCGTGTCATGTCCCCCGCGCTGTGCGTGTCACGCCACACAACAGGACTGCGTGACATGTTTCATGCGCCGTGCGTGTCACGCCACACAACAGGACTGCGTGACATGTCCCTGTGCGTGTCACGCCACACAACAGGACTGCGTGACATGTCCCTGTGCGTGTCCCGCCACACAACAGGACTGCGTGACATGTCCCATGCGCTGTGCGTGTCCCGCCACACAACAGGACTGCGTGACATGTCCCTGTGCGTGTCACGCAGTTTCACGCAACAGTTCGTAAATGCGCAGCGGCTGAATATTTCATGCGCATAAGAAGAGCTTCTACCTTTGCCTGATTCACGTCATGCGCGGCTCGACATAATGCATCACTCAGCATGATGCATGACCATACATAATTTTCATCATCATGATGAATACTCTAACGCCAGACGCTAGGTCGAGATACTACCTTAGTGATATGTTGTCGAGATTTTACATATGAATTTGCTATTAACATTAAATTTGTTTGGTTGTGAAGAATTATAAAGGTGTAATGATAAGTCCCTTTAAAATTAATTGAGCGACTTCGGTGCTATAGGTCAGTATTGCCCATGTTAAATGGTGCGATATATTCTTGTGGTCTAGCGGTATATTATGCTTGTCTTTTGGTATATATTGTTTGTCTTTTGATATAATATGCCAGTCTTTTTATATATTCTACTAGTCTTTTGCTGTATTATGCTAATTTTTTTATATATTATGCGAGTCTTCTGATATATTATGCTAGTCTTTTGATAAATTATGCCAGTCTTTTGACATATGCTAGTCTATTGCGATATTATGATAATCTTATACTTGAAGTCCGCACCATGCCTACTGAAAATTAAGATCAGCAATTAAAAAAGTTATAAATAGTTTCAGACGTTAGAGGTCTTTATTCTCTTATATATTTCTTCTATTATTATTACCTCGTGCGTATACTTCGGTCATAGATTTTGACTATACTGAGATTGGCAATAAAAAGAAAACCTTTGTTGAACTTTAAAGCGAATGTATTAGGCCAAATGTTATATCATCAAAGTTTCAATGATTAGTTAAATAGTAATCATGTCTACTTCACTACGAGAAACGCAAAACAACAAATTCATTGAAACGATTGTAATTTTTAAAAAATATTTACACTAATTAGACGTTAACAAAGAATCAACGACGCCTGTGCAGTTCATTACCCCGGGAACCTCTTCTTAAGGTGACTTCAGGCTTTCAGGCCTTAAGAATAATTACAAGGTAATTCCAGCAGCAGCGGCAACCTGTTACCATGAGAAAACTTAAAGAACAAGTCACGGGGAGCAACAAAAGATACGGCACTAACAATGGCATGAGCAGCAACGGCAGCAACAACAGCAAGAGCCAGGAAGCGTGGCGTTTGGCCGTCGCCATGGCGACCAAACCAAACTTTGGGGCTCAGAAGCCGTGACTGAACCGAGCTTGACGCGCGACTCCTCCCTGCGTATACCTGCGCACTCATACGCTTGCTTGTCCGCTTATGCATGCCTGATAATGCGTACCTGCTCATGCGTACCTATGCTTACCCTCATGCGTACCAGCAGAAACATAACAGCATCTGCTTACGTGTACCTCATGCGTACATACATAACAGTATCTGCTTACGCGTAACTGCTAAATAGTCTTTGCATATGCGCAAACCCTTGTCTGTTCCTGCTAAATAGCGTATCTGCTTGCGCGTAACTGTTTATGCGTACCTACATATTTGTAACGGCGTAAGCGTGCCTGCTCATATGTACGCTATAGTTGCATGTCCGCTTCAAGGTAACTGCTGTTAGTACGCCAGTGTACTTTACTTCAGCGTATCCTCAAAGTGCGCACCAACTTATTTATAAGCGCACGGACGTAGTTCCGCGTATAATCACTTTTTCAAACACAACGTCTGATTATGCGTATACTCGCTTTCAGCTCAAACACAACGTCTGATTATGCGTATACTCGCTTTCAGCTCAAACACAACGTCTGATTATGCGTTTACTCGCTTCAGCTCTAATATAGAACCTGCTTTCAATCACTGCAATTAAGTATAACCGCCTGATGTAACCGCTCACGTTTTGTATCGTCAAAGAATTCTAAATGAGCTATACAGTTTAATTAATAAATGAATAGGTAGTTAATTAGTTGATTAATTATCTAATAATTTATACAATTAAATAATTAATTACAATGACATTACTTACATGCAGCGTGCAGATTGTAACGGGCAGCAGAGAATTCGTATGAGGAACGAACAGTAACAAACTCTTAAAAACAGACTAGCAAGTAACAAACTCGTTCTATCAAACTAACAATTATCAAAAGTGTACGAACACATGGAAAAGTAACACAGTCGTGTGACCACACGGATAAGTCACGCACTCGAGCGAGCA